AGGGGGTGCCCACGCCACGGGGGACGAGGCTTCTGCTCGGCGCTGACCTCCATGGTACCCCTCACCCTTGAGCCTTCCTGCTGGGGGTCAGCAGCTGAAGCCACATACAGGGAGGGTATGCCCACCACCCTCCTGGGGTGTGCCGCCAGGTGCCAGCACCTCGGGACCCTTCAGGGGCAAAGCTGGCCAGCCCTGAGCCTGACCCGGCCTGGGGCTCACCGCAGGTGTACTGGGGACAGCACTGGCCGGTCTGCAGGGCCGCGGGCACTGGCACGAAGCCAGACTCGGGGCAGGCGGGGGGCGGGGCACAGGGCCGAGTCTGGCAGCTCAGAGTCCAGGTGCCGTCCTTGCAGGTGCACTCCTGGCAGCCCACGCTGACAGTGTGGCCAGGCTGTTAGGGGAAGGACATGGGACCCCCGGACCCACGGCTGAGGGCCTGCAAGGGGTCTTCCAAAGTGTGGGCGGGGCTGAGGGCTGCTGGGGCTCTGGGAGGCCCATGGGGGCCAGGAGGCGGGGTGGGACGGGGTTGTGCGGGCGACCGGCCTCCCTCCCCACCGTCCCCACCTTCACTGTGTGGGAGCAGGGTGGGGGGTTGTCTCCAGGGAGGGCGGGATGCGGCCAGCCTTGGGGCCAGCACCCACCCTCCTCCAGGGCCGTGCAAGGAGGCCTCCTGAGTCTTTGCTCAGGAAAACCTGGCCCCTCCTCTGAGTCCCCCGAGGGTGCCACACTCACCTCCACAGGCTCCCCGTCGGGCCCCACGCAACCTGGAGGAAAAGAGAAGACATCATCGCTGGGCTTCCATGGCCCCCAGCCCGTCACGGGCAGACCCGGTGTCAGGGGCTGGGGGAAACCTAGGCTGTGGTGGAAAGCCCTGGGGTCTGGCTGAGAAGTGCAGAGCCCGAGGGCCCAGTGCGTGGAAGCCCCAAGCCCAGCCCCAGGGACGTACTGCTGCAGTTGGCTGGCACGCAGACCTCTGAGCTCGAGCTGAACAGCGTCATGTCCTCCGGGCAGAAGCAGCCTTCTGTGATGGGAATGGCTTCCGGGAGGGCCCTGTGGGGAGCGGAGGGTGAGCTGGGCCATGACCTCCAGGGTGGGGAGAGGCGGCCTGGGGACACAGGGCGGGGTGGGCGTGTCCCAGAGGGAGAGGGCAGGTGCTTACAGGGTATTGGCACTGTTGTTCATGTAACAGTAGGAAGGATTGGACGGGCCGCAGGGCCGGTACACCTTGTCAGCAGGGCAGGTGAAAGCTGTGCGAAGGGTGAGGCCACACCTGAGGCCAGAGGGCACGAGAAGCGAGGCCTGGCCTGGGCCCCGCTGGCTGGAGCTCTTGGCCCAGGCACCTGCTGTGTGCCCTGCACCGCCCAGCCTGTCCAAGCCCTGGACCCCTGCACCCTGGGCCCAGGTGCTCTGACCTGGATGCCCCTCTTGTCCCTCCAGGAAACAAATGCACTCCATCCTGGGCTCAGCCCTCCTCCTCCCGGAAGCCCACCCTGACCGCCCAAGTCCACCCATGGATTGCCCAGTGTGTCTGTCCCCTCGAACATGCTGATTGCCACCGCCCAGCGGGACGGGGCACTCTGGGGCGGGGGGGGAGGGGGCACTCACGGCACTCGTGGGCGGTCAGGCCCCGCCAGTCGATGCACACGCTGAGGGACGCGCAGAGGGCGGCGTACAGCTCCAGGCTGGAGCACCTCGTGTCCACCGTGGGCGCGTGGCACTGGTCAAAGGCGCAGGCTTGGTAGTATGGCCACGGGGGGATCACCGAGTGACACGGCTTGAAGACTCTGCAGCACAGAGACACACGGGTCATGGGGCAGCTCCGTGGTGGGGTTGCCAGGCTGTAGGCTTTCCCTAATGAAGGGCCCCGAGGGAGAGGCGTCACTGGGCCGACCTGTGTGCCGAGGGACCCCAGCCTCTGGGGCCATCTGTGTGCGGCAGGGAGGGTGTCTGGCTGCAACACAGCTTTTCTTTCTGCAAATTCTCCGCTGGGCTCCCCCCGTGCCCTGCACGCCCGGGTGCTGCCGCCGGCTGAGGGCTTATGCCCGGAGCCACCATGAGCTGCCTCAGCGCCTCAGAGGCCGACCCGCCACGAGCCCCACTGGGCTCTGCGCCTGGCGTTCCAGCAGCCGTGACCCCTCTCCCTTGGAGCCCCCTACAGGCCCGCCCACTTCTTCCTATCTCCCAGGCAGCGTGGGATTAGCAGGGCTACTCAACACCCCCCACACCCCAGCCCTGCCAGGGAATCTCACTTGCTCAGAATTAGCTGGCAGATTGGCGAAGGTAGGCACGAGGTGGACGTTTTCTTGGGCTCAACTGTGGTGGGCGTCAGGGGAGGCCTGCTGCAGGATGGCTGGCCGGGGTGTGTCACATTCCAGTGGCCGGGCATGTCGGAGCAGGAGGGTACCACCGCCCCCCCAGGCAGGCGGCACTCGTCCTTCTGGTCATTGGTACAGGTGCCTGGGGCGTGGAAGCAGTGGTCAGTCAGCCGGGGAAAGCAGAGGCACCCTCACCCTCCCTTGGGGTGCTGGGGGCCGGGCCCCAGCGTCTCCGCGCAGCACTCGATGGGTTGCTGTGGGACCTGTCCCCTGACCTCCCTGTGCTTTCTTTTGCCTCCAAGAAGCCAGACCCTGGGGCAGTTCCCAAAGAGGCCTCACGTATGGGCCACATGGCCAGGCCCCTGGGCCGTGTGCCGCACATTCTTGGTGCAGCTGGAAAGCAGAATCACCTGGAGGCTCCGCGCCACACGGGCGGCCTCACCCCCAGCCAAGAATGCAGTTCCTGGAGGGACACACCCGAGGCCGACCCTTCGCACACCAGACACTCCCGGCCAGAGAAAGGGCCCAGAATGCGGAGGGCCAGAGCGGGGCTGGGCCGGGCGCTCACCGCACTGCCCCTCCGTGTTGTTGGCGAACTTGCTGAAGGGCAGCTCCACAGAGAAGATGAGGCCACTGAACATGACCTGGACACCAAGGGCGGGGATGGTCACGTACATCTTGATGCCGATTTGGGAGACGACAATGCCGTCTTTCCGGAAGCCGGGTCTGACCACCTCACCGTTGAAGATGATCTAGACGGGGACCCAGCAAGGGAAAGAGAACCGGGTGGCGATCAGCCAGTGCCTGGCGCCCCGAGTCCACCCGGCACAAGTGGGGGCTGCCCGGAGGGCGTCCCCACCTCATTGGTCATCACCCCTCTGACGGGCCTGCGGGTCAGCACGACGCGGTCCTGCTGGTACTCGATGATGATGGACTGTAGGCAGGGCAGCCCATCCTTAGCATCACAGAAGTAGGTGTCGATCAGCACCCGGAAGTGTCCGAACACGGGCACGATCTGCTGTACCAGCACATACGTGCAGTTGTCCAGAAACGTGTAGTACGTACCATCAAAAGTGATGTAGTGGGGTTTGCCCCAGCGGCTACACACGCCTGCGGGAGGACGAGCCGCCTTACCTGGCCGCACTACGGGCCTCCTCCCACCGCCCCGGGGCTCCCGCAGGGGCAGGTGTGTCCCGCGCCAAGCGGAGCAGGCGACTGCCCTGTTGTCGGGACCCACACACCAACAGCACACAGAACTCTGTCCAGTAGGTGCCCAAAGAGGCCGAGAAGTGGGACCAGACTCCGGACGCCCCCTCGCGCCTGCGTGGCCCGGCTGCTCTGGGCTTGGGCAGGGTTCCGCCGGGCACCTGGGGAGGAGGCTGGGCGCTACCACCGCTGCCCTGACCTTGGGAAGTCCTTCCTGGGTCCCACTGATTCCGTCCTGCCTTCTCTGCCATGGCCGCCACCCCCGGCCCCGCCCACTCACACTTGCACTCGTAGGATGGGCAGCAGTCCTCCGGGTGGGCCACTATCACAGCGGGGTAGCCGTTGGCGCAGGTGGGCTTCTGCCTCTTTGGACACTGGCGCGCTCTCACGGTGATGACCCCGTTGCCCTCACAAGTGGCCTCAGAGCAGTTGGGCATGGCCCAGGTTTCGCCATTCTGCGGAAGCAAAGGCTGCTGCAGGGCCTTGCCCTGACGTGGCGCCCACCCTTCGGGGCTCAGGGCTCGCCTGGCTCTCCGGGGAGAGAAGAACCACCAGGATTGGGACCAATACTCACACCAGGCCTCTCCTCCCCCAGCACCCCCCCGAGCGCCCGGCCGACTGGGAGGGGCTCCGGGTGTTGGAGGTTGCCCCCTTCCCCCTCTGCCCATTTCCACCCACCCACCGTTTCCACTCCTTGGCCGTTTGACCCTGTCCGGAGCATCAGTCACCTGCTCTAGCCCCCTTTATAGGCAACAGATTCTCAACCTCGGGCCCCACGCTCCTGGCGCCCCCTCCCAGAAGTTCTGGAGGACCAGAAATGGCCGCTCGCCATGGTCAGCCTACGTCAGCCGAGGGGCCACCAATGGCCACTCGCCATGGTCAGCCTACGTCAGCCGAGGGGCCACCAATGGCTGCTCGCCATGGTCAGCCTACGTCAGCCGAGGGGCCACCAATGGCCACTCGCCATGGTCAGCCTACGTCAGCCGAGGGGCCACCAATGGCCGCTCGCCATGGTCAGCCTACGTCAGCCATGGGGCCACCAGTGGCCACTCACCATGGTCAGCCTACGTCAGCCGAGGGGCCACCAACCTTCATGCACCCTTGACGCCACAGCCTACTTTGAATGATGCGGAGGGTCCCTGCCCTGGCCGCCCCGAGCCCCCGAGAAGGGCAGAAAAGGTGAGGTTACCGTTCTTGGGGGGACTGCATTTGGGCATCCTCCCTGAGTAACGGACACAGAGGCAGAAGGGGAGGACACTGGCGTGGAGGTGGCCGGGGTGGGAGGTGGTGTGCTGGTGGGACAGGTGTGGTCGGTCCGCCTGACCACATGGCAGTGCAGGCTGCAAAGGGCATAATAGCAGTGCCCGGAGAGGTCCGTCTGCTGGTAAATGATGGATCCTGCAAGAAAAGGAACGGGAGGGCACTAGGAGAGCCAAGAAGCGATCACCAGGAGGGACTCTAACCAGGCTGGTGGTCCACCTGGGTGCTGGGCTGACAGGTGGCCTTCCTTCCCAGGTGTAGATGGCATATCCTCAGAGACGGCTTACTGCCTTCCTATACAAAAGACCTAGCCCTTTCACAAAGACAAGGCACCCCTCCATCCCCTTAACACCATAGTTTTGTGAACAGGACAACAGTGACCAGGGTCAGCACACACCACACACCCAGGTAGAGTACACATACCTGCGGAGTATAACCTGGACGCCACACTGCAGTAGCACGTGGATGTGGAGGGCGCTGCGGAGCTAGGGGAGGTCACCAGGGAAACCGTGGGGGTGGTGGACTCTGGAGAGAGTGAGGGCTGGGTACTTGCAGTCACAGAGCTGACAGGGCAGCCTTTCTGGGGCTCACAGCACAGCATGCGCACCTCGTAGTTGAGGCACATCCTGAACTTGCCCTTCTGGTCCCGGTTCCGACACACCAAGCCCACTTCCGGGCTGCACTGCACCACCTGGCCCAGCGTCTGGATGCCGACGTCTGG